GGGATCTCAGGTTGTGTTGGGTCGACTACCTTCACGACCAGGTAGACTTAGGGTCCTAGTAGCTGTGTATGACGGGTCCGTGGTACCCCGACCCAGTTACCTCTACCTTTTAGGATTACTTTTCCTTGCCTTCTTGTTGAGCCCTTTTGAGCCACCACCTCTTGGAGCTCCAGTTTATAATCATAGGATAAGCTTCCTTCCTTTGACCTTAAGGTTACCGAGGTTCTCGTGGATGATGCAATTCACGGATTGCTGACCGGGGATCTCAAGACGTGTTGGGTCGACTACCTTCATGACCAGGTAGACTTAGGGTCCTAGTGGCTTATAGACTTAGGGTCCTAGTGGCTTAAGGATGACGGGTCCGTGGTACCCCGACCTGGCTACCTCTACCTCCTAGGATTACTCTTCCCTACCTTTTGACTACCCCTCTTCAGCTACTTCTGCTTCTTTGACCTCGTTGATGTCACTTTGATGGCCCGATGCCAATAAGCTGCCGCCGATTTGGGATACGATGATTTGGTCCAGATGTGCTATGATGTATTAGGATACTCCCGTTGAAGTGATTTAGGGTTATTTTGTAGGTTTCGTGAGCTGAGAAACCGCCACCCATTTATACTTGGGAGATTCACTCTCCACCCAATGACGTAACATGGCTTAAAAGCATCGAGATCATTCCATACGAAATAATCACCTTTTGATGACCAGGTTCATGATGATAAAGCGAAACTCCTTCCATCGAGAGTCTTCTTGGGTATCCCCTGAGATGTAATTAACCAGTAGGAATACGTTCCTCTGTGAGACTTTTGAACCCAAAACAAAAAATGTTCTTTTTGGTTCTCTGGTTACAAGTAGCTTATATAGAGATTCTGCTCGTGGATGTTGTTTTTCCGAGGTACTTCGATCTGATTCTGTTTGGATGTATACTCTTGACTCATCACACGAGGATTATCCCCATATAAGTCTTTCGCCTCTTTTCTTTTTTGATTTGTTTGCCTATTTGCTGCGTTCGCCTCTTTTCTTTTTTGATTTGTTTGCCTATTTGTTGCGTAAGTTGGTTCACTATTCGATTCATCTCCTCTTCGAGTCATTCATTTGGTTCGAGATGGAGACTTACTCGAATAGAGAAAATTATACGACGATACACAAAAATGCAGACTAGCGACTCCGAGAACTAAAAAGAACCAAGAAAAACAGTGCATTTTCTCACATTTTTATTTTTAAAAACACTCAAAATATTTATGACTTGTTTGGGATCACCTATATTTTTTTTTGTCTATATTTTTGTCTTTACTTTTATTTTTTTAAAAATGTTTGTTTGGTACATTTATTATTATTTTTTTTGTTTTAAAAAACAATTTAAAAATACTCAAAACATATAAAAACTGTTATAAGTGTTTTAAAAAATACATAAGCATATTATAACATATGAGACATGATTTATTTTAAATAAAAACATAAACAAAACAAAAAAAAAATAAAAATGAAAAGAGAAAATTATATACATACCACCTAAAACATTGATATTTGCAAATGAACCAACCATGTTTTTTTTTTTTTTGATCTACCGAACCGATGTATTTACATCTGCCACGATCAAGCTACTGAGAATTTGATAAAAATGAAAAAATGGGTTGGGGTTTTATCATTAATTTTGATATTTGAGTGAGAATACAAAAAATGGATGAATGAGAGTAGTTGATTTATAAATAGCAAGTTTCATGTGTATGTATGTAATTGCCCCAAATAAAAAACAAAATATCGAAAGTGAGCATAAACAATCCCTTAAAAATTATTTTGAGTGTTTTCAAAAACAACTTAAAAGACTATAACATATCAAAGATACTTTATTTCCAGAACAAGAAAAAAACAAAATAAAAAAATTAAAAAAATTAAAACAAAAATAGAAAATAATCCCAAAGGGCCCACAATTTTTCATATATGGCAATTGTATGAAAACCATAGAGGCATGGTTTGCAGCTCTCCAAGGATCATTTCTCTTCTTACCTTAACCAAATGTCGACTAGACACACAATCTTAATGATAGAAATTTCACTAGAGCAATATAAATAAATAAACAAAACTTCCGCTAGTGCATTGTACTGCTTCTCTAATCTAATGCAATTTCTTGGAGCTCCAACAGGCAACAATTTGTTACTCGAGCATCCACACAAGTTAGACTTCCAATCTATTCCATCAGCAACAACCATCTATCAGGGCTAGGGCTGTCAAAACGGCTTGTTGTTCGCGAACTGCTCCTGTTCAGCTCGTTAAGAAGCTTGTGTTCGGCTCGCTCGCTAAGTTAACGAGCCGAACACGAACAAAAATTTGTTCGTTCGTGTTCGGCTCGAAATACTACTCATCAATTATATATAT